TTGATTAAACAAGAATATCAGCAGTCTCGTTTAAAGTCATCATTTCGCAAATTCTATGGTCGATACAATGACCTTGTCAGCAAGTACAATTTATCATTGAATGAAATGCTGACTGACGTTTTTCATACCAATTGTTAGTCCATTATTTATACACTGATTTGACCACGGATTTTTTCCGTTATTTCCTGATTATGACAACGAGCACACGGCGAGTGTGACCGGTCGGCAGGGGATGCTCACTCCTCCATGGCACCTGATCCCACCTCTGATGTTTCGGAGGTCCGTGTTTGCTCTGCTCTTATCTCTTATTTTGTATATTTGTTTAATGGACGTTGAGATTGAATACTGTTCGTTATTTCCATATCCTTCTGCAACATGCATTTAAGATTAATTTGTTGCTAATATATAATTAATAAACATGCATATGTATACCTAGAAATCAGGTTTATTGGGGGGTTAATTTTTGTTGTTTTCAAGGTATGAAGAGACCCACGAATTCATGTCCACCACGAAATGTAAAATGTTACATTGTACATACATAACTACTCAACAATTCTTCATCCACGAATTCAAATCCCTGCAAACTAAGAGTTCTTACCCAAACCACGAAAATTTGACCCCACAAAAATATGTGATATTACAGTACAGGAATTGAAAAGATACTCATAAGGATCACCTTTTTGAGTTGGCTCACATAGTGAGCTACTCCCTGTTAACACCGCCGTTTCAGAGCTCTAAAAATTTTTAACGCATTCATCAAGGTGATCCATGCGCCAAATATTATAGTTATATCAAAAAATGCTCTTGTTTGAGTGATAGTATAAACTTTTAGTATTTAATTTTAGTATATAAATTGGCACATTAGAAGACTACACTAAGGTACAAGATTCTATTTTTTGCTGCCTGTTGTAAAGTTTCAAAATCCAAGTGTTACTTTTCTTTTGTTATATGTACAGATCAGTAGAGTTACAGTCTCATTCGAGACTTCTGGTTTTCTTAGTACTGAATACATTATATGTATACATATATTTATAAAGCAGTAGGTTTGTGATGAAAGGATATGGGTGAACACAGAGAGCAAAATGCCTGTGATACACATTTAAAATCTCCATTTTTTGTATCATAATTTATGTATATCATATGTAAAATCTCTAAGATAAAAAAAAATCTCACGAAGGTTGAACTTGTTTCTATATGAAATGATATAGTGAATATGATTTTTTGGCTCACATCAAAAAAGTTTAAAGTTTTAATTTGTTGCTCCATCGATCATGCCCATAAGGACCATTTTTAAACTAATTTTTACGTATTTCTTTTTTCCCCAAGTATTCCTGAGACATATTATTTTTAATTAACCCTGCCCTATTTGTTTAAAATATCCTCTTGGGAGAAATTATCCTTTATTAAACAAAGTTACATTCCCTTTATCCGAGATTACTTCTTCCTACCAATAATTTTAATTGGTTCTATATGATTCTGGAGGAAAAATAATTTTTGTTAACGAAGACTATACTAATGAGCTTTTAATTCAGATGAGCTACACAGTACAAAAAAAACACAACAACAACAACGGTCGTGGAACAACACAACGCCAAAAATAAACAGCAACAATCCAAAAATCAAAATATTCTAATGAGAAAGGCATGAAAGGGTTCTGAAACGATTCATTCACTTTGTACAAGTAGTATTCCTGCGTGCATGATTCACTGATTAATCGTTATGGAGGGAAACACGGGCACAGGTAGATATCAGAGCTAGATATGCTAACAATGTAATTAATAATGATGATGACGATTTTCTCATTTCGCAAATAATTAGTCAGAACATGTAAAGACCCCCAGAGTTCATAGCGCGGTATGATCCGCGCCCCATCCTGAGGCTAAGTTGTAAGAAAACTGTTCTTTGTAATGTACGTTTTCGTTTGTTGATCATGTCTGCTTTTTCTGTTTTATCTGTATTTTTACTTGGACTTTTAGTTTTTCTTTTTAATTCAGGTATGTAGTTTAAGTAAGTTGTATACCTGTCTAAACATTAATAGTATTGTTTACTTCATATTTTCTGCCTGGGCTTGCTCAAATGAATAAATAATACAATCACCGAATATTCGGTTGCTTTCATCCCATTCAAGTAATAACATTCGAACACAATCTTAATTTATTTCTTTGATTTATACCTATCATAAAATTATAGATATGAATGAAAAATGCAGGTGCATCATAATAATTTAACTGGGGATACACTGTTTGAAAGGAATGGAATTAAATGTATCAATTTTACAGAAAATCAGTAGAATGTGTTGCAATAAAATATCAATATATTCGAACAAAATTATAACAATGTGAGGGAAAAAAGGAATTTACGTGATACAGTAAGAAAAATATCACGACTTTTGAAGATGAAGTTCAGTCAAAGCCGTTGAAAGTAGATTACATACGTACGTATAACAACTGGTTGGTTGTCCCATTCTTTTTCAAGAAATATGTGTTTAAAAATAATTAAATAAATAATTAGTAATAACTGCAATGAAATGCCGTTGAATTTTAGGAAAAGATGTATCAGGCAAGAGGAATTTAAGATGGAAGCATTTAAATTTAAAACTAGGTAGATTTAATTTTTAGTAGGACACTTCATTTGGTGTACTCTCTAAAATTGACATATCTAAAGCAGCACATGTATGCATTATTTGTTTCAATTTAATCCTAATTTTGCCCAAAGTTTTTATTTCCTACTTTTTTATTTACACAGTTGATCAGGCTGAAGGCGGAGAATGCTGCAAGGCTCATTACGATAACGGGGGATTACGTCATGACACCACGTGGTGTAGCCACTATTGTTGTCATGATCGACGGCGCATGTACAGCCCGCTCTACTGCTGTAGTGATTTCTTCAGGAGGGCCGACAGGTCTGACAGACTCGACTTCTGTAGCTCATGGTTTACAGCTTCCGCTAATCTGTAGGTTTTCATGTTGGTTAACATTATTGTCCCCCGCTTTCGCTAAAGCGAGGAGACATTAAATCTCATTCGTCTTACCGTCCGTCAGTCTTTCAGTCTCTCGGTCCGTCACAAAAACTTAAACATTGCCCTTAACTTTTGATCTAGTGGAGCTATGACTTTCATATTTCACGTGTGAATTTCCTGTGACAAGACCTTTCTTTGGGTACCACCAAATTTGACCTTTTGACCTTGGAGTTTGACCCACTTTTACACAAAAAATCAAAACTTTTACTTTGGCCATGACTTTTGAACAGCATAGCTACTAGGACTTTCATATTTCACATTTATACTCTTTGTGGCAAGATCTTTCATTGGATACCATCAACCTTGACCTTGGAGATTTCCATACTTATGAAAAAACTGTATCCTTGTCCATAACTTTTGTTCGGTACGAACAAGGGCTTTCATACTTCACACATATAATACTTGTGAAAAGACCTTTCATTGGATATCAAGATTTTGGCCTTGACCTTGGAGCTTGACCTACTTTAAAAAACCCTAACCATAACCTTTGAAGGGTTAGGGCTAGGGCTTTCATACTTCACATATTTTATCCTTGTGTGAAGACCTTTCATTGGAAAATAATAACACAGCTGACCATCTGATAATCTCTGTTGAGATTCTGCTGGGCTAGATATTTGGACTGACGCCCACACATTCTCTGGACAGCCATTCATAATTCATGTCTGGAAAGTAAGTCCCAAATTCGGCCGACTATAGCAAGAACTATTCACCTAGCCCAACTGCCATTCACTTCAATTAAGTCATTTGGTTGTTTATTTGAGTCTCTGTCACAATTAATTCTACATTCCTTGTTACTGTTTAAGCATGTAAATCCCAAGATAAAAATATTCACTTAAATCAATCTGCTTTCAAAATATGGTTCCTGTGGCGAAATTGTTTACCACCTCGCATAAAAGAGTTCACTTCACATATCTAATTTTTGTGAGAAAAACTTTCATTGGATACCAAGAACTTCAACTCTTTGACCTTGACTTTTGAGGGTTGACATACTTTTAAAAAACAAACCTTGACCATAACTTTTGAAGGGTTAGTCTTAGGGCTTTAATACTTCATATATTTTATTGTATGACAAGACCTTACATTAGATATCAAGAACTTTGACCCTTTGACCTTGGAGTTTGGCCTACTTTTTAAAAACTTTAACCTTGGCCATAACGTTTGAAGGGTTAGGGTTAGGGCTTTCTTACGTACTTCCCATATGTAATACTTGTGACAAGACCTTTCTTAAGAAAATAACAACTTTGGCCAATTGACCTCGGAGTTTGACCTACTTTTCAAAAACCTATCCTTGGGACAAAATATTTCCCAGCATGCTATGATTTCTGATTCCTTGAACTTGACCTTCACTATTGAACTTATTTTTCAAAAATTCAACTTTGGTGATAATTTCTAAATGACATATGATAAGGTGTTCATATTTGACACAATATGTCATTAAAATGACATCTCACCCACAAAGACACCGAAAGCGGGGGGGGGGGGGGCACAATTCTTTGAATTTGCTTGTTTAATCTACAGAATTTCTTTAGTGAAGGAGGTGGCAAAATAAATTGAAAAAACAACTTTTAATGTTAGATTTGGCGATTCCTTGTAAACTCAGATCATTACTGCTATAAGTCTGTCAAAACGTTATTTTCCGAAGGGTTACCTATAATGCGGAAAATACAAATTCATACCAATTCAGTGCGTGGAAAATTCGCTTGCAGAGTAGGTTTAATTAACCTGGCAAATATTATAGATATTTTTTTAATGGCTTATGTCCATCTGATATTGAACATCTTTAGGTGTTCCATCCCTAATAGGACCAGAGTCTCTAATCTTTCAATGCCTATCCCGTACACAATACTCTGATATTAATTTAAAGCATTTTACAGTAGAAAAGGATTTACAAGAGAAAGTTTTTAAAATGCCATTAACTAAGCAGCAATTATTAATAAAGATTGCATTGGACATTGAAGTCTTTGGTGAGTCGGGGACAAGTGATTTATTAAAATAACAAGAGGCCCAAGGGCCTTATAGGTCACCTGAGCATTATGCAACAACTTTCCAGTGATTGAACTTGATTCATGTTTTAAGCCAGATGCTATGGCATTCACAATTTTAAAAGAGGCACCATTGTTCATCATAACTATACACTTAGCAGTTGCTTAGTTTGGTTACTTAATACCCTAGGCAGGGTAGAGGAACAAAAATGCATTTCAACACATGAACCCTTTAAGACTAGATCCACAATTCTTGAAAAGGCATCCCTGCTTTTCAAAAATATTTGATTAATACCACCAAGGAGCAGATTTCAAGCAATTCATTCATTTTCAGTATATAAGTACAGCCCCCCTCCCTCTATGGTACCCCTGACCCTGGGGCCTTGAAATTCACAATTCTGGAAGATTAGGGCCCTTGTTCATCATAACTATATAGGTAGTTCATCTGCTTAATACCCAGGAGCAGAGAAGAACATTTTCAAAGATTTAATGTATTTTCACTATACAATCAATAGAGCCCCGCCCTAACACCAGAAACCCTGACCCTGGGGCCATAAAATTCACAAATTTGGAACAGGCATTCTCGCTCATCATAACTATGTACTTAGTTAGTTTAATACCTAGGAGCAGAAAAGTGAATTTTCAAAGAATTCATGTTTTTTCACTAGAAAATAATCCACAGAGCCCAGCCCTAACACCATAACCCCTGATTCTGGAGCCATAAAATTCACAAGTTTAGTAGAGGCACCCTTGCTTATCATAATTATGCACTTAGTTAGTTTATTAAATTCTTAGGAGCAGAGAAAAAGATTTTCAAAGAATTCATGTTTTTTCACTATATAATAAATAGAGCCCCTCCCTAACACCATAACCCCTGATTCTGGAGCCATAAAATTCACAATTTTAGTAGAGGCACCCTTGCTTATCATAACTATGCACTTAGTTAGTTTATTTAATACCTAGGAGCAGAGAAGATTTTCAAAGAATTAAGACATTTTCACTATATAATCAATAGAGACCCGCCCTAAAATCAGAACCCCTGACCCTGGGGCCATCAAATTCACAATTTTGGTAGAGACACTCTTGCTCATCATAACTATGTACTTAGTTGGTTTATTTAATACCTAGGAACAGAGAAGATGATTTTCAAAGAAATAATGCATTTTCACTATATACTTATTTAGCCCCGCCCTAACACCAGAACCCCTGACCCCAGGGCCATAAATTTCACAATTTTGAAAGAGGCACCCTTGCTGATTACAATCATGCAAACGATTTGCCTGCTTGATGTCCAAGAGTAAAGAAGAAGATTTTTAAAGATTGCATTAATTTTAGTGGTTTTGGCCCCACCCCTCAGGCCCCAGGTGGGCAAGGATCATGAAATTCACAATTTTTGTTCCCCTTCACCCATAGATGCTTTTTGCCAAATTTGGTTGAAATTGGTTCAGTGGTTGCAGAGAAGAAGCTGAAAATGTTCAACTGTTAACGCACGACGAACGACGACGGACGAAAACGGATAGCAATAGGTCACCTGAGTTTACTCAGGTGACCTAAAAATCCAAATAATGAGAATACCATGCAATAGATACTGTGATGTAATGATGCATTAAACATTAGAAATAGAATGAAAATATAATACAATTTTTTTTAACAGAAACTTTTTTAAAATTGATTTTTATATTATTTAAAAATTGAGGGAGATAACTCTTACCTAAATTTATGGTCATAATTTAGGACATATGTCATTCTTACATGCTAGTAATAAATATGAACTATGTCTAAATATACAAGTCAGAGTATTCAACACCTATACATTTGTTATGCTAATTTCATTGAAACTGTTGCCATAAAGGATGTAATACCTTAAAATGTAGTTGTGTGTTGAATCGCAAAATGCTGCAAAACTATCGATCACTTATTTAGCTCATCTGAGCCAAAGGCTCAAAGAGCTAATGCTATGGCCATTCGTGCAGTGTGCGTAAATTTCTTAGAATATGGACCATAACTCAAGAACCCTTTGGCCAATCATAGTCAAATTTGTCACATGGTATCCCTGGCCCAAGGGCTACTATTATTATACTAAAACTAGGTTTTAGACCCTTAAACAAGGGGAGATAATCAGGAAAATAAAACCAACAGTACTGTTTGCTAAAAAATTCTCCAGAACCACCAGGCAGATTTTCACTAAACTTACATACAAGGATCAGGATATGTTGAAGATTTAAATTTGCACGCGGAATTACTCTGCAGCAAAGGACGTGGTCTCAAGGCCACTTCAAATTTTACCAAAAATTTTACTTTATAAAAAGATTGATATTTTGTTTATCATAAAGACTGGGGTAATCAAATTTTGTAAGTTGATGCATCTTAGGACTTCACATCATGTTAAGTCAAAAGTAGGTCACAGTGACCTACTTTTTTTATTTTGCAGGCATTAGTTTTGAAAGTGATTTTGAGACATATGTTGGACACTTTAAGCTAATGATCATCAAACTTTGTCAGTTGATGCATCTTGGGTCCTCGAACAACGTCAACTTAAAAGTAGGTCACCGTGAACTCCTTTTTGAATTTTATGGCTTATCTTTTTCAAAAAAATACAATTAATTCAGACACTGAAAGGTTTAGAATCATCAAATCTTTTAAGTGCATCTTGAGGCCTTAAAACATATTTATGAAAAAGTAGGTCACTGTGACCTACTTTTTATATTTTGCAGCATTTGTTTTCAAATTGTTTAAAAGGTATATTTTGAATACTTAGAGACCTATGAACATAAAACTTTGTAAGTTAATGCATCTTGGGTCTTCGGAAAACATCGACCAAAAAGTAGGTCACAGTGACCTACTTTTGACATTTTATGGTTATATTTACGTATCTTAGGTGCTTGTTGGCTTAGAATCATCAATTTTTATCAGGTGACCTACTTTTAACATTTTATGGCTTTATTTCAGTATCTCAGGTACTTATTGGCTTAGAATCATCAAACTGTCAGTTGATCCATCTTGGATTTTCGGAGAATGTCGACCAAAAAGTATGTCATGGTGACGGTGACCTACTTTTGAATATCTCAGGTACTTATTGGTTTAGAAGCATCAAACTTTGTCAGTTCATCTTGGGTTTTCGGAGAATGTTGACCAAAAAGAAGGTCACGGTGAACTACTTTTTAATACCTCGGGAACTTATTTGCCTAGAATCATTAACCTTTGTCAATTAATGCATCATGAGTCCTCAGAAAACCTCAATTAAAAAGTATAGTACATGTATTTTATAGTTATATTGAAATATATTTTGTCCTAACTGGCTAAGAATCATCAAACTTTGTCAGTTGATGCATCTTGGGTCTTAGGATATTTAGAATTAGGGCTTCAATATAACAGAAGTGATAGGTTGTACAATTTATCAGAAGAGCGATTCTAGGCCCTTGGGCCTCTTGTATTGCTGAAGTTTAGAAAAGTTATTTGATTTTCTTTTTTGTGCACATATCTGTAATTATTTTATTTTAAAATTTCGCAATGAAACAACAATTCTTAAAATGCGTTCCCATTTTTTTTTTATTCAACGTGTTCAGCCGAAGAAAAAAACAAAGATAAGAAGATAAGATATAGATAAGAGTCTACTACGTTTTAATATCATACTGATTTTGCTTTGTAGATGGGCGCCCGTGTTGATAGCCATTGTTATAATCGCCATTTTGATTGGTTGTGGAATATGTTGCTGTTGCATTCCGGGATTTTGTTTCTGTTGTTGACATTCCAGGGAACAAAAAAAACTGAAAAGACACGTTATGAAATGCATCACCTCCCTCTCTCTCTCTCTTCTCTTCTCTCTCTCTCTCTCTCTCTCTCTCTCTCTCTCTCTCTCTCTCTCTCTCTCTCTCTCTCTCTCTCTCTCTCTCTCTCTCATGAATTGAAAAGTTGAAGATACTTACAACTCTTTAAAAATTGCAAGTAATATATATGTTGTTGTTATAAAACCATTACCTACACTCTTAAAAAAGTTTTACTTAGTAGTCATTTTTTACTTGAAATAACAAAGATAAGTAATAGATAATTACTAAGCATTTACTTAAAAATTAAAATCAATTACTGAAATATATGTCAATTACTAGATTCAAAAGTTTTACTTGATTTTTGTATTTTAAAGAATTGTTTTACTTACACACTAGAACGTTTTACTTAGTAATTTATATTTACTTAAATTTGTGTATATAAGTAATAACATTACTTGGTCTTTACTTACATTTTACTACTATTTACTATATAATTAATATTTAAATGCCCCCGTAAACGGGGGTATATAGTTTTTGTCGTGCATGTCTGTCTGTCTAGCTGTCTCTCTGTTTGTCTGTTTATCTGCAGAAACTTTAACCTTGCCCATAACTTTTGATTTAGCGGAGCTATGACTTTCATATTTCACACGTGTATTCCTTTTGACAAGACCTTTCTTTGAGTATCACCAAATTTGACCTTGACCTTGAAATTTGACTCACTTATACACAAAAATTCCAAACTTATTCTTTATCCAAATCTTTTGAACAGTAAATACCAGGACATTTATACTTCACATATATATTTTTTGTTGAAAGAACTTTCATTGAATACCAGCAACTATGAAATTTTGACTTTGACCCTGGAAATTTCCATCCTTGTGAAAAAAAAACTTTAACCTTGGCCATAACTTTTGAACGGTAAGGAATAGTGCTTTCATACTTACATATATGTAATCATTTTGAGAAGACCATTCATAGGATACCAAGAACTCTGACCCCTTGACCTTGGAGTTTGACCCACTTTTAAAAAGCAAACCTTGACTGTAAATGGATTAGGGTTAGTGCATGCATACTTTACATAGTTCATCCTTGTGACAAGACCTTCTTTGGGTACCACCAAATCTGCCCCTTTATCCTTGACCTTGGAGTTTGACCTACATTTCAAAATTGGTAACCTTGACCATAACTTCTGAAGGGTTGAGGCAAGTGTTTCCATATTTCAAATATGTATTTTTTGTGGCAAGATCTTTCATTAGGTACCAATATCCTTGACATTTTGACCTTGGAGATATCAAGAAATCCCAATAATTTAGATTTGCATATAAGAAAAGTTTAACCTTTGCTATGTTGCCATACAGGGGCATAGGTGTTTGAATTGTATTTAATTGATTTACTTAAAACAAAAATTTATTTACTAAATCAAGGAAAATTCATATCAGTAATTACTTAAATATGGTAGTCTAATCACTATTTGCCTGTGAGAAGGAGTTATCTTTCTTCTAAATATACCTTCATGTGAAAAAATAGTCACACTTAATAAAAATGCGATATTAAGTACTTGAAATGTTTAACCATTTTTAAAATGGTCCTTAAAAAGATACAACTTATCCAATTTTTAAGACTTTCGAAGTTGGAATCAAATGTTATATTGTTATATATAATAAAACAATTACAAGCAAACTGGCAAAAGAAATAGAAAGTATAATTGTTTCCATCAGAAGTAGATTTCTTCTATTAAACTATTTAGAGGGGCCAAATAGGGAACTCTAATAAATAAATCTGTGAGTAGTACTCACATGTCAGAGGGTCGGTACCTCGCAGTGTTTCTAGTAAATAATGTCGATTTTAGTAAATATGATAAGTATTTCTTAATTTCAGAATTACATTTACTTAGTAATAATTCATAAAATTTAGTAAATAGAAAGCATATTATCTCTAAATTAAGTAATAATAATTTAACAAAAATGAGTAGTTCATTTACTAACTTAAAGTAATACAATTCCTATAATGTAAGTACACTGTAATTCTATTGATACTTAGTAAATCATTTTATAAGTAAATGAATTCATCCTTATTACTAATTATGTTTACAATTACTAACCATGATAGTCATTTACTTGCTATTCTGACTAAATGGATTACTAATAATTACTAGTTTTTCTTAATCTAATATCTTATTTTAAAAACAACAAGTAAAACTTTTTTTAGAGTGTATGCCCATAAGCAATTAACTTTTTACTGTTTTTTGTGGGTTTTTTATTCGTTTATTCTTAAATGTTCTTATAAATGTGTTTGTGAATGCATAAGGGAATATATTCCTATACATACATATTTGTTCGAATTCCTAGTTTTGCAAAATGTTAATGTTAAAAAGAATATCTAAATGTCATGAATTGAAATGAAAAAATTAAGAAAGTTAATAGAATGACACAATTTCATTCAGTTAATGTAATATTACTGGGATACCTCAAATTTACCAAAAACTCTACATGTCTAATCTTGAAAAATGAATTGTAGCTAAAATATTTCTTTATACATATTTTTATGATTTAAATCTAGAAAAGAATTTTACCGATATTGCCTCGAAATGCTATTTTTGATGCTTTTTGGATTATCACAGCATAATAAACTGTTTTAAAATATTAGCTCTAATGTAAATACGGGAGAGGAGAGTGTCTAGTGCATTTGGACATGCCAATAATTGGTCGAATTTTCAAAATGTGTGCCACACATCCCGTTTTTCCCCACTTGTTGCCAAACTTAGTTAACGTATTGTTATCTATAGTTCACGGTTTGAAAACTATATTATTGTACAGTCGATAAACCTTGTTTATCAACTGTGAAACTTTGTTTAGTTCATTTTTGTGAATTTGGCGTGCCATAGCTGTGATTATTCTATGGTGACATATTTCTGCCTCCTACATGCAAGAAAATTATATTAACATGCAAGATAATTATGTCTACATGTAAGATAATTATGTCTACATGCAGGTATAAATTTGTATAAGAATCTTATTGTAATATGGTTAAAATCACGTACATAAGTCCTTATCTCACATTGTAGATGCAAGATGCGAGATAATTATGTTACCATGCGAGATAATTATGTTACCATGCGAGATAAGTATGTTACCATGCGAGATACATGTAATTATGTAGATATGCAAAATATTTATGTCAACATGCAAGTTAATTATGTAAACATGCCATTTATTTATGCGAACAACTGAACATGCAAGATACTAATATTAACATGCAAGATACTTATTTAGACATGCAAAATATTTATGTTCAGGTGCAAGATAATTATGTTGACATGCTACTTATTTCTGTCAACATGCGAGTTTTGTTTTAACGTAAAAGATGTTAATGTCAATCTGCAAGAAAATAAGTTGTATATCAACTTACATATCTTGCATGTTGACAAAAATAAGTCGCATGTTGACATAATTATCTTGCATGTTAACATAAATAAGTCGAATGTTGATATAATTATCTTGCATGTTGACAAAAATAAGTTGCATGTCTACATATTTATGTTGCATTTTGCATCTTAAATTTCAGATACAGGCGTTAGTTAGTAAATTTGCCCATACATGTATTTAAATTATATTTTCTTATAAGATTGGTAACTTGCATGTGAACATAATTAACTTGCATGTTGACATAAATATTTTGCTTGTCTACATAAATATGTTGCATGTTAACTTAATTTATCCTGCATGTAGGGGGCAGAAATATATGCCACCATAGTACCCAATTGCAACTTCTCGAGCCTTTCCGACAAACGGAAAAGCAACGCGTAGACAAACCCTTTTTCACAAACTTTGAAATAAATGTTTGAAATCTTATTTTTGGAGCATGGATTTTAACTTTATTGAATGTAAATATAGTACCTTAAATATATAAGGGAATTTTAACACCTTCAATCCTATATTCAAATACACAGGAGGATGTATAAATTTTTAACATCCGGGTACATTTGAGGTTGTTTTTCCGACCTCTAACGGATGATGTTTGAGTAACGCTTGCAATTGGCGAGTAATGACATGAATACGTACTATTGTACCCTTAAAGTAACATGTACACACAGAAACATCCGCTGAGGAAGTTAAATACCACATAGAGGCCCAAGCGTTCATTTATATTCCACATTTTGTTGGAGATTTGAAGGATCATTGTAGATTTAATGGATCATTCATCAGCGCGACACATGTACATGTAGGTATCACTTTCCCGGCCAGTATGTGTCCGTTTGTCTGTCGCTTTATACCTTGAGAGCAGTACTTAGTACCGCAGGAATTTTTTTAGCTTGTATATTGCTTGGAAGAATGGCTGTAAAAATATATCAGGGTTACCAAGACCTTTGAATTTTAAATATGTTCTGCTTTTAAAATAGACTCATGTGCTTATACATATATTCTTTTACTTTTTAGAGGTACATGTAAGTTTATGCTTGGGGAAATGCATTGCTTTTCGTTATGTATACATGTTCAAAAACATAGGCTTTATATCAGGAACCATTTAGCAACAAAACAAAAATTCCATTAGATGTTATGTTATCAACAAGGCTTGTTTGTGAAACACTGTTGCCCCGTATGGCAACACAGCGAAGATTAAACTTTTCTTAAACGCAAATTGAATATATTTAGTAACCAAAGTATGGTCTTCTCACGAAAGCCATAGCACCACCTGTTCAAAAGTTATGGGCAAGATTATCTGTCTAGAGAAGGATATGGAAATAATGAACAGTATTCAATCTCAACGTCCATGAAACAAATATACAAAATAAGAGCAGAGCAAACACGGACCTCCGAAACATCAGAGGTGGGATCAGGTGCCATGGAGGAGTGAGCATCCCCTGCCGACCGGTCACACCCGCCGTGTGCTCGTTGTCATAATCAGGAAATAACGGAAAAAATCCGTGGTCAAATCAGTGTATAAATAATGGACTAACAATTGGTATGAAAAACGTCAGTCAGCATTTCATTCAATGATAAGTTGTATTTGCTGACAAGGTCATTGTATC